ATTGAAACCCCTTTAAAAACAACAATGGACTACTCCAAATTGAAAGCAGGGCAAGTCCATTATTCAAAATAGGTATGGTAAGAGTTGAAGAATGTTGAAATATAGTTTCATTAAATGTATGACTGGTGATTTTAGGAATGATTTTAATGGTGCCTTGAGCACTATGTGTTATAATGAAATTTAAAAATTGAGCTCTAACATGATAAAAAATACTTGTATATGAAAAAAAATAAATTAAAAAAGATTAAAACTGTTTAATTGTTTGTTGAATGTGATATGAAATACTTGTAAATAAAAAAAGAAAAGAAAGAAAAAACATAATAAATTAATTTATTAATAGCAAATAATGAGACATTATTCATTTTCATAGCTGTTGAAATCACAGGCACGAGTATCGGACCTGGGAAGAAAAAATATGACCAGATTGATAAAAAAACCCTGTGTTCATCTTAAAAGTGTCAAAAAAAACAAAACAAAATGTAAATATTGACCCCCTTTAAAAATATACTATAAGCTCTTAACTTATAGTATGTTTTTAAAGGGGGTCATTATTTACATTTTTTTTTTGCTTTTTTGACACTTTTAAGATGAACACAGGGTTTTTTTTTATCAATCTGGTCTTATTTTTTCTTCCCAGGTCCGATACTCGTGCCTGTGGTTGAAATATGAACTGCTGATTCTATTAGTCTTAGTTAGGCCAAATAAAAAAGTTTTGTTTCTAGTCTCTGACTCCAAAAGAAGAGATTAGGTATGCATGTAAAAAATTCTTTAAATATATTTTTTATCAGATTTTCTATGTAAATGTATATCATATATAAAGTTAGAGTTATGAAAAAGCAGCAAATGACATGTCTAGGGTCTTTCGTTAGAAAAAAACAAAAGGTAAATTTGGAGACCAGAGACAAAACATTTTTTTGTTTGTCCTAAAAAAATGGAGGGGAAAAAATATGAGCAAAATAAATAATGTATCAGCTGCAGGACTAATTCCCAAGGCACACAAGCAAAAAAAAAAGTTTCTAATTAATAATATACCTCATACAAATCATAACAAGTTAAATGCTACAATATTTGTTTGTTTTTATTGTTTGGTTGCAATTTTGGGTTAAGACTGCAACGCAAGCACAAATTTCTTTATTGAAAATAAGACCAGTATAAATAAATATCAATAGTACAATAAATAATCCCAACCAATTTGACTGCTAATTCAATAACATTTGAGCCGCGTCACGACAAAACCAATATAATGGGTTTGCGACCAGAATGGATCCAGACCAGCCTGCGCCTCCGTGCAGTCTGATCAGGATCCATGCTGTTCGCTATCAGTTTCTCTACATGTAATAGGGTTGGTAAGGGAACAGCATGGATCCTGATCAGACTGCGCTGATGCGCAGGCTGGTCTGGATGCATGCTGGTCGCAAACGTTGCAGAAGTGATATGACGGAATATTTTTGTTTGTGTTAAAAGCCTCATCTTTTTATCCAAAATGGCCAGCTCATGATATTTGACTATGGAGCCTGGTCAGACTGTACAAGCATGCACGCTTTATACTGGTGGAAAAGACATATCACTTTTAATTTCACTATGTTAATGGTTTACTATGGACAGTTCCAAATTCAACAGAAGGACAAGTCCATTTTACAAATTAAGCATGGTAAGGCTTTAAGAAGCAAACAATGCAATATCGTCATAACTTGTTTATCATGATACCAGGAGAAAAACAACAACAATGTCTCTATTTACAACATGTCTCTTTGTTGGTGAATCTGATTTTTATGCAGATTTTAACACATCATTCGATCATTTCTAGGAGGTTGATCCACCTATCCGACTTTCCTGAATAACTAACTAACCAGTAACTGTTAATTTCTCCTCAAGTGACCAACTTATAAGTCGACATAACTTTTTAAATCAGCCGTGATAGACTAATGAACATTAGACTCAATGTCCAAGATCAATTATCACCAACATATTTTATCCGCCATGCACGAGGATCGAACCAGCGACCCTTGGATAACTGATCCCAGGCTCTCCCTTTAGTGTTAAGCGGGTGTACTTGCCTCTTTGTAAAATATTTTATACCTTAAAGCATTTCTTTAGAAAGAACAAATGTTATAAACTTTACAGTTTTCCATGGGTGACAATCAAGTTTTAATACAAAATTGTGTATAATCTATGTTTATAATTTATCTAATAATGCCCTTACGCCATTGAAATCTTGGTGTACAATTATTACCTCCCTTGACAATCTGTTTTTACCTCCCCTCTGTAGATTATGAAATAGAAATTGTTGAATTTCTGGATTTATGCTGAGTTTATTTGGCAAAAAAATAATTCTAATCCTGTTTATCTAATATCTAGTGATACCCTGAATATGAACAAACTGGTGTCCATAAAATTTAATTATCATTCCTTATGTATAAAATCACAGACTTTAATTGAATTCCATGATAAAATCATAAGTTTTTTTAAGAAAAATATCAATAAATGAAGAAAAACACAAAATTATCACAACAAACCATATTTGAACAAACCATAATTATACATAAACATGTATTAAGCAATGATTTCTTTCTCACTAGCTATTTGAATTAAAGCTCTATTTTGTAGCAACACTTTTTTTGAAGTTCCCTAATTTGGCATCCTTTAGTCTCCATTGGCCAACAAGAGCCCTTTAACTGAAGAATGTCATTGAAAAGGTGAATCAAAACTTCCTCCAAAAAAGTACTTATTTTCTTCCATTTAAGCCAGCATAAAATGTTGGGTATACAAGTTTGGTTCCCTGTAATTTCTATAGATCTCATACTCTGGTTCCCTTCATCTAATGGTTACCAATTCTGTTCCCTATAAATTTCAATACATATTCAATTTGTTGGTCCCCATGAATATCTACAGGTATAGTTTGATACCCTAGAAATTTCAACATGTAACAACAAAGTCTGGTAATCATTAAACTCCTAACAGTAACAACATTTGATTACCTTAACATCCAAAGGCTAGCCTTTGGATTTTCATTTTGATACCCCATACATAATACAGGTTACCTATATTTAGCTGTCAAAGGTCACCAAATTTGAGAACTTCATGTGTTGCCATCTGACTAGAGTTTGAAAATGTATTCTAACCTTTTAACTATGTCACATAGTTGGTTCTTATTTTTCTTGGACTTGGTTGATTCCAGGAACGGATTCGAAAGTGTGTCTATAAGCTTATAGCTTCCTACACAATCAAACTAAAATAAATCCTGTACAAACCAACTATGTCACAATGTGTTTTAAAACTAAACTAAAAGCATGAAAAATTCGAATTTCATAAATAATAAATAATAGCACTGCTAAACTTTCCACAGTAACTCAATGTTTTATGAACGAGTTACCTCCCTTTGACCGTTCAATAACCATACAGTCATACTATATATATGCGGTTTGTAATGTATCAGCAGAGTTAAGGTGTCACACTTATCCAAACTTTTAATTTACTTTTATTACAATACAGATCATAAAATGCCAGATCTTTTTTAACATCTGCCAAAAATGCTAACTTAACCTTGACAAAAAATTTCCTTGTTTGTTTTTTTATATCATCTGCCAAAAACACAGCTTAAGCCATACCAGAAAATTTACTTTTTCGTAACCTTTTTTAACATCTGCCAAAAACACTATTTTAGACACAAAACAAGAAGCGCCGCAATGCGACGGAAACCAGGTTTTCAACGACCAAATTTTGATGTGACAGCAATCAATAGGTCAAAGTACACTGAATTTAATGAGTAGAAGCTGAAAATTCTATTGTAAGCAAATGACCTTGAACTTGCTTCCAGATATCTAAGTAGCAATCCAAAGCTGCCACTCAGCAAGTTTATTGTCAAAAGGTCAAACTCAAGTTATAACATGAAAACTAAATACATTAACCTTGATCGCAGACACCTGGGTAGCACTTCCAAGCTGCCTCTTTATATAAGCTACCCATTCATCAAGTTTGGTGTCAAAAGGCAAAAGCAAACTCAATGTATTTAGCGGAAACTGAATTTCTATTTTTAATAACAGTGACCTTGACCTTAATCACAGACACCTGGATAGCAATCCCAAGCTGCCTCTTGATATAAGCTATCCATACACCAAGTTTGGTGTCAATAGGCCGAAGCAAACTGGAGTTATTGAGAAGAAACTGAATTTCTATTTTTAGTAACAGTGACCTTGACCTTGATCACAGACACCTGGGTAGCAATCCCAAGCTGCCTCTTGATATAAGCTATCCATACACCAAGTTAGGTGTCAATAGGCCAAAGCAAACTCAAGTTATAGAGTGGAAACTGAATTTCTGTTTTTAGTAACAGTGACCTTGACCTTGATCACAGACACCTGGGTAGCAATCCCAAGCTGCCTCTTTATATAAGCTATCCATACACCAAGTAAGGAGTCAATAGGCCAAAGCAAACTCAAAGTTATTGAGCGGAAACTGAATTTTCTATTTTTATTTACAGTGACCTTTGACCTTGATCACAGACACCTGGGTAGCAATCCCAAGCTGCCTCTTGATATAAGCTATCCATACACCAAGTTTTGGTGTCAATAGGCCAAAGCAAACTCAAGTTATTGAGCGGAAACTGAATTTCTATTTTTAGTAACAGTGACCTTGACCTTGATCACAGACACCTGGGTAGCAATCCCAAGCTGCTTCTTGATATAAGCTATCCATACACCAAGTTTGGTGTCAATAGGTCAAAGCAAACTCAAGTTATTGAGCGGAAACTGAATTTCTATTTTTAGTAACAGTGACCTTGACCTTGATCACAGACACCTGGGTAGCAATCCCAAGCTGCCTCTTGATATAAGCTATCCATACACCAATTTGGTGTCAATAGGCCAAAGCAAACTAAAGTTATTGAGGGGAAACCAAAAGTTGACGCCCGCCCGCCGCCGACTTCGGCATTACAATAACCCGGTTTTCGTTGAAAACCTGGTTAAAAATTACTTTTATTTTTGGTATCTTTATTTTTAACATCTGCCAAAAATGCTAATTTAGCCATGGCAGAAAATTTTCTTTTTCATCTGCCAAAAACACTATTTTAGCCATGACAGAAAATTTACTTTTTTGTCTGTTTTTTTAAACAATCATTGATTTGAATGATAGAAAAACCACTTTATTAACAATGTCTGTTTGAACTTTTAACAAAAACTGATTTTAAGCCATGACACCAAATTAACTGTTCTTCTAAAGTAAGCTTGCCTAGATTAAAATAAACCAATTCCTGTTTGTTATCTACTGTAAACACTTAAAAGGCTGTTCAACAGCGAATCTAGAAGTTGATTTATATTTGGTTTGATAAAAAAGCTTGGACTTTTGACAACTAACATAATTTCCAGTCCAAAATATACATATATACATGTATATATATATATAGACAATGCAAATTTCTTTTACAAACTTTCAAGTTTTTTCTTTAAATAAACTCTGAAGTCACAAAAAGTAATGAATTTTTCTAAAATCTTGGAATTTTTTCCATAGATTTTCTAAAATCTGGAAAATAAATAAATAAAAAAAAAATTCATCAAAAATGAAAATGTCCCTCAACATTGTACATGATTTTTTATTCTCATTAAAAAAATATACAAATCAAACAAGCCAAAATATTGTTACGCAAGATTTTCAATTCTATAAATCTCAATCTAAAAATAGAACTAGACTAATGTTTATGCCCTATGCTTAATATAACTGGAACCACTGCGCCGATAACCAGCGCCACTAAGTCCAGCTTAGCAAATCCTTTATGTTCGTGTATAACCACGGTCCCGTCTTGTAAAGTCTGTCGTGTTTGCCGGCTCGCAATCTCCGGTAGCACGTGCACCGTGGCCACGTATAAAAATGTCCCCGCACTAAACAACATTGCTATGCCAGTTGTATGAGTATCGTTTAAAGTCTCCATACTTTTCTGAAAATAATATAAAACAATTTTTGAAAATGTTATATATAAGAAATAATCAATTTGCCTCAATATACCTGGCCATGTCAAAAATTAATCATAATGTTATGATCACATCTCATCAAAATATTAAAATGAGCCGCGTCAAGACAAAACCAACATAGTGGGTTTGCGACCAGCATAGATGCAAAACTAATCAATAATATACATGATGCATGGAAATTTATATACATACTGTCCGGAATGTATTGGTCATGTTCAATTTTTAAAAAGACAGATTTCTATAATACACATTTACTTTTACATTTTTTTTCCCTATTATATCAATTAACATAATATTAGCATGGTCAAATCAATGTTTATTTGTGCATGAAAACCCAATTTGATATAAATTTGATATATGACGTGCCATCTATCACCCACTTACAGCCAATATTATTATTTAAGCAACAACATCCCATAATCATAATCCAAAATTTCTCCCCACTGCAATACATGTATAATAAACAAATAAGCAATTACTCAACCCATTTCTAGCCTTGCTTAACATATACTGTGGATTCAATTAATTTTGTGAAAATGAAATTTCGTGGTTTTGTCACAAAGAACATTAACATGGATTTTTAATCCATTGTGGAATATGTATTTTTACAAAAATGTGATGCAAAATAATCTTACAGCAGATCAAATGAAATTTTGTTGGATCTTAAATTTGTGGATTGACCTGTTCACGAAAACCACGAAAATAAATTCCCCATGGATAATTAAGATTTTGCAGTATTTTGCCTTTGAAAATATTAATTTTAAATATTAATATTAAATATTAATATTAAATATTAAATATTAATATTAATATCAAATATTAATATTAAATATTAATATTAAATATTAATATTTCTCATGATTTATGTTTTGCATGATATAAAAGTTTTACAGTGATTTTAATGATCATATAACTTGACTGACGAGGGAAGTAATTGACTACAAGCTGTCAGGTTTGTAAAAGTATTGACCTTCCTTATGTGTCATGGACACTGGACAGTTTTCTCAAAGAAAACTTTAGATCAAATTCTGAGACAATGACATTAAACTTATCAAAAAACCAGCTAGGATGAACTATTTTTGAGTTTGAAGATGAGTTTAAAGATGAACTATTCACTTAATTCTTTGAGGATAGCACTAAGTGAAACAATAAACTAACTATTCATCCATAGCAGTCAGGATGGCAAACAATTAAACAATAAACCATTCACTTATTTCTGCCAGCTTAGACTGCTGCAATATATAGAAACTAACTAGGTAACAACAATGTAGTATTTATAATAATGATATAATGAAGACTGTGACATATAAAATATCAATCATATAAAATATCCATAAAAAGACCCTTATACAAAAATCTAATCTACATAGCATTTAACCCATCTTCATTTTATCTCTTATTTCAGAACAACAATATGAAAATAATAGGATATATATTTGTGATTGAAGCTTCTTACATAGTCACTCAAATCCAATATTTGCTAAAAAAAGAAATGAAAATCTAACAATATTGAATTGATATCAAAGAACCCCAAACCACAATCTAACAATCTAAAATTAATGAGATTAAGAAATCAGTACTACAACAGTCTTATTAAAAATTATAGCTAATAATAAACAAAATGTTTACTTAAGGAACTAAAGTCTTTTTTTATCATCTAAAAATGGCTACAACACAAAAACATAAACAACAGATAAAAGTTTTCTACAAAAAAAAAATTTGTAATATACCAATTTTTCTAACAATGCTGAATTGTATCTACAGGAATTTCCCAGAATTCATGAAAATTCTAAACTACAATGCCCCTCTTTTCTTCTTACCGTTTGACCAAAAAAGTACAGAATAAGTGAAATCTAAAACAACATTATCGTTTAAGCAATCTCAAAGATATTAAGAAAAAAAATATACATGCAACAACATATTATTTAACCTCATTTACTAAAATCTCTTTATATATTCTTTTTTTTGGAAGAAGGGTCGGGATGGTGGCTTGATAATGTCATATGACAAGTTTCCAAAATTTCTATTGGATAAAAACACAGGTGACGTTCCTATCATTTCAGGCATACGCAGGCTCCAAAGTAAAACCACTGACCTCTGACCTTTAATGAGCAAGCTAGATAGCTCCCTTACATAAAAGAATCTAAAAGTCCCTTCTGGGATTCAAACCCACAGCAGTCACTAGGACAGGTGAATAAAAGTCAGTGACCAAAACCAACCAGCAATGTAGAAACCTTCTAAAAAAAGTATAGAGCATGTAAGAAAAGCCTAAAGGGTTAAACTATGTCTTTAGGACTTTATAGAGATGAAAAAGAACACAGAAGAAAAAAAACTATGTCATAGGGCTCTATAGAGATATGAAAAAACACACAGAAGACAAGAGGGCCATGATGGCCCTGGAATCGCTCACCTGTATATAGGCCCCTGGGTTAATGCCAATTTTAAACCAGGGACTTTTATTTGAACAAACTTGGTAGACAGCCATTAGAAGATGTTTCATGATTAATATCTAAGCTCTAACTCTTTGGGGTTTTTAAAAGATTTTTTAAAGTTTTTACTATATACATATAGGAAAAAACAATGCCCCCCCCCACCCCCGAGGGGGCAATTTTGACACCAGGGCTTTTACTTAAACAAACTTGGTAGACACTAACTAGTAAATATTTCATGCTAAGTATCTAAACTCTAGCTCTTTTGGTTTTTTAAAAGAAGATTTTTTAAGTTTTTACTCTATACAAAATAATGAAAATCAATGACCCCCTGGGGCGGGGCCAATTTTGACCCCAGGGCTTTTATTTGAACAAACTTGGTAGACATTCACTAGAAGATGTTTCATGCTTAATATCTAAGCTCTAGCTATTTGGGGTTTTTAAAAGAAGATTTTTTAAGTTTTTACTATATACAAATAAGGAAAATCAATGACCCCTCGGGGCGGGGCCAATTTTGACCCCAGGGCATTTATTTGAACAAACTTGGTAGACACTGACTAGGTGATGTTTCATGCCAAATATTTAAGCTCTAGCTCTTGCGGTTTTCTAAAAGAAAATATTTTAAGTTTTTACTATATACAAATAAGGAAAATCAATGACCCCTCGGGACGGGGCCAATTTTGACCCCAGGGCATTTATTTGAACAAACTTGGTAGACACTGACTAGGTGATGTTTCATGCCAAATATTTAAGCTCTAGCTCTTGCGGTTTTCTAAAAGAAAATATTTTAAGTTTTTACTATATACAAATAAGGAAAATCAATGACCCCCCAGGGCCGGGCCAATTTTAACCCCAGGGCATTTATTTGAACAAACTTGGTAGACACCCACTGAAAGATGTTTCATGCTTAATATTTAAGCTCTAGCTATTTGGGGTTTTTAAAACAAGATTTTTTAAGTTTTTACTATATACAAATAAGGAAAATCAATGACCCCTCGGGGCTGGGCCAATTTTGACCCCAGGGCATTTATTTGATTAACTTGGTAGACACTGACTCGTTGATGTTTTATGCCAAATATTTAAGCTCTAGCTCTTGCGGTTTTCTAAAAGAAAATATTTTAAGTTTTTACTATATACAAATAAGGAAAATCAATGACCCCCCGGGGCGGGGCCAATTTTGACCCCAGGGCATTTATTTGAACAAACTTGGTAGACACCCACTAGAAGATGTTTCATGCTTAATATTTAAGCTCTAGCTATTTGGGGTTTTTAAAAGAAGATTTTTTAAGTTTTTACTATATACAAATAAGGAAAATCAATGACCCCCGGGGCGGGGCCAATTTTGACCCCAGGGCATTTATTTGAACAAACTTGGTAGACACTGACTAGGTGATGTTTCATGCCAAATATTTTAGCTCTAGCTCTTGCGGTTTTCTAAAAGAAGATATTTTAAGTTTTTTCTTTCGGTTGCCATGGCAACCAGAGTTCTGCTTGGAATTAAATTCTTTGAACAATTTTTAAAGTTGACTACCAAAGGAACATTCCTGTGAAGTTTGGATGAAATTGGCTAAGTGGTTTATGAGAGTAAAAGTTTACGGACAGAAGGATGACAGACGGACGCCGGACGGAAAAGGGATCACAAAAGCTCACCATATCACTTTGTAACAGGTGAGCTAAAAAACAAACAGTTATTGTACTAATGCCTCGAAGAAAGTCAGTCTAAGTCAGAAGAAAATCATGCATAGAAAAGAAAACCAAATTATCTCAGCATACATTTTAAATCAAGTTTCATGAAAATTTTGCATGGTTCATTGATATAAATTTCATATTTATATACATCTAGAATGAACAAAAAGTTTAATTTATGCACATTATTATGATACAATATGTGAATATTTAATAAGTAAAGGGAGGTAATTTTTTTTCAAACTAATGTTAATTCACTTTAAGACACACATATAGTTGTCCCCCTTTCATATGAAATTGTTTTTCTCTCTAAAGTAAAAGGTAAAGAAAGAAAACATACCTGATTTAAGCACATATAGGTTAATATAGCCCCTATGGGTGCTGCTGCAGCAAAAATAAATAAATGTTTTCGTATTCTTGTTCTATCAAAACCTTCATGAAGTAAAAATGAGACCAAACCAAATGCTGCCGGAGCCTGAAATAGAAACATCATACATTTAACACTTAACCTACTTCATTTCTTAAATGAACCTGTCCAGGTGACAGTTTTGGAACTGTTCATTATCAATATGGGGTATAACAGGATGAAAATTTAAAATAATATAGAGCCTGGACAGATGTGCAGAACGGCTGGGCAAAGGTTCAGGCTTAAGCTCATTGTCGGTTAGTAACCTGTACCCAAAGTATATATTCCACACATACTACATTGTTTGTTTGATTGCATTTTACGTCACACGGACACAGTATAGGTCATATGGCGATGTTCCAGCTTTACTGGTGGAGGAAGACCTCAGATGCCCTTCCGTGCATTATTTCAGGAAGAATGGGTACCCGAGTAGAACCAATACATTATCTATAGTATGTACAGAAAATATATTGTGGGTAACGGACAAATTGGAAAAATCTTTGCACAGAAATTAGTAAATCAATATCATGAAAACTATTTAGAAAATATTTCCTTCAATGAACATTGATGTCAAATTCACTGCTTTCAAAATACATGTACAGATATTTCTGGTTTGAATGTTCATGATTAGGCCTGCCTTTAAAATAGCTTTGTTTCCCCTCCTGCAACTAAAGCCAGTTTATGTAGAACAGGTATGTCACTAAAATATTTTTATGTTGGACTTGTCTATTTATATCTGAAATATATGGATTTCAAAAGAAATTGTGAAGAGTGATTAATAGCATCTATTAAAAGTTTCTAACAAAAGCTTCAAAGATTTATTCAATATCACAGCTGGCAATTTTACCATGCAAAAAAAAAACATGTTAAAGCGCTGTGATTCTCATTGATTCTTCCTTCATGTTTTAATTTTTTGTAAGGCAATGAAATATTTTGGGTAGCAGTAAATTTAACGGATAGGTTGTGAGAGAGGAAACAAATAATGTTTTATTTTTGATAAGGATGTGTGTGCACACTGGCCTGACTCTTGTTTATGGTGGTGGTGTTTACACTCTGGATCACGACAGGAAGCCAAATTGAATTTACCAAAGCACAGTTCAACCACCGCATCGTTCCTTGGCAGGCTGTCAAGTAGTTTACCAGTACTAGTTGCCTTCACTTTCGCAAGGAACTGATAACTTCTGTACATGCTGGAGCAGAGGTACAGTGCTAATAACCATAGAAAAGGTTTCATGATAAATCACAACAAAAGTGACCTGCACCCCCCGGGAATCAAACCCGAGTCCCCTGATTCACAGTCCAACACTCTACCTATTGAGATAACTGGACAGCTTTCAATCTTGTCTAAACTGATGAAAAAAGGGTTATAACTGTTGGTGGCAGGAGGAGAAAAGTAAAAAGCATGCATAACGACATGTCTTAAATCCTTAGTCTTAAGAGCAATGAGCTTTGTTAGTAATTGTTCTTTAAATGCCATTGGATTTCAGATACACAAATAAGTAAACAACACTAATATTATTTTTCAATTTCTCCATTAAAGTTTGATAAAAGGTGTAAAATTATAAAGGCTATTCTAACCTTATGTAACATTATAGCTACAAACACTATAAGTGTTAGATGAGCTGTGGACATTGAGACAGCAGCCCCCATAGCAATACCATCAGCTGAAAGTATAGATGTAACATGATAGTTAGGTAAACTTAAAACAATTGGCTCAAAGTATAGAAATAAAATGATAACCTGGCATAAGCTGAAAGTATAGATGTAACATTATGACTAGGTATATTCTAAGTAAAGACAGCCGACAATTGGCTGAAAGTATAGAATTATATGATAAACTGGCATCAGCTGAAAGTACAAATGTAACATGACAACCAGCTAAGATGCTGAAAGTATTGATACAATATGGAAAATAGCTGGCAACTAAAAGTGTAGGTGTAACATGATGATTCAATTTGTAATAATATAATAAATAGGAATAATGCTACTGACATGTATGGCTTATTTGCTTTTGTGTCAGTTTGTATCAGTATTCTGGTAACATACTGGATTCTGAACGAGTCATATTTTTTTTATCCTGAAGGAATACCCAACATCTCCACAAAAAAACCATTTAAATAACTAAAGAATATTTCATACAGAAACAAAGCATCTCCCATAGACATATCACTCCCCGTACTGTGTAAACTGGGCTAGCTTTAAATACCAAATAATCTTAATTAATGTGATTATGTGAGCAGACGGACAACAAAACCTTGAACAATAACTTGCATATAATACTAAACAGAAGACATTAGTGAAATTCGTCATAGAAAAAACAATTCATCATATACCATTAAATCTGAATTATTTGAGTTTTATATGCATAATGCAATCTGGTGCATTATCTTGCACAATAATAACTTTATTTCATCATTTTTTGTAGCAAATTATGAGCAGATTTTCTTATTTATTGATTACATCTTATAAAACAAATATAATACCTGCTGCGTGCACAACTAAACCTAAAGTGGCTGTAATTTTATGTCTGTTTTGTGATGAATTTGTTGTCGGCAAATCTGTGTCTGGAAATAAAATGAAAAGATGTATAACATGTAGTCTGTGCTTTTTTTCTAATCCTGTTCTAGCCTATGCTATATTTGAACCTGTCATGTATCTAAAGTTCTAAACCTAAACTAAATCTATGCTAATTTTAACCTCAACTTATAATTACCAGTACTGGTATTATTGTTGTTGTTGTTAATGTTTGTGCTATGATTTTACTTTTTGAATTTAGAATGTCCAGGGCTAGAATTTATAATTTCTATTACTAGTATTTCTTACAATTCATTGTTTCATAAAATTACATATATTAATTTGTATAGAGACAACATTAGGTCAATTAATTACTGGTTATTATTTAGCATGTAGTACTTCATCAAAATGTCAAAACCTGTCTGTACTATACTAGCTTGTATAATGACAGATTACAGCTTTTACACACACATATATATATATAGATCTTTGACAACACTTCTAGGCCAAAAGTCACCACAAAATAAAAATGCATTTCATGTTTTCTTAATGTATCTGTTTCTGTTACTTTTTACGTACAAACTTAAGTTCATAGTAACTTAGCAATTGGTGAATTTTTCTTTAGTAACATTCATGAAATGTCAGCAGCACACAACATTATTCTGTGCTCATTTTTTTTCGCTTTGTTCCTTTTTTTATAGGAAAGAAAATGTTTTAACATTTGAAAAATCCCATAAACTTTGAATGGTCTGTTTCATATTCAAAGCAGGGCAAATTCATTACATATATTCAGGAGGTTTAGGATCAAAAAATAAGATTTATTTTCCAGTAGGCCTGTGACACAGTTTTCTCTAAGTAACAGCTGCTTATCATTGCTCTAATTGAGTTATTTTCATCATCTTATTGTTTATTCAACTTCCTGTACACAGAAGTATTTTTCTCCGGATTAAAATGTATAACACTATATACATATATCTGCTGCCTGTAGTTAAAAGTTAACAAAATTTTTTGCTTGAATTTGAAAAAGAATCATTCTAAATGCCTGTATGATGGAAATATGTTTGTAATTTTCCTTAAAGGCAAAATTTTTAATGGCGCATGCACTAAATCATTGCTTAATCCTATTGCGTACAATATTCATGTGTGTTAAATAACAGAGCCCTTCTATATTACAAATCTTTCAAGACATGTGAGGAACTACCTGGCTAGCTGGTTCCTAAAATAATGCATGAGTGGTATGGCTAGTAAAGTTGGAAAGTGTATACACTTGACTTTTACTGTGTCAGTGTGACTTAAAAACCCAACCAAATCAATAACATTGTGCTGTAAAAATTAATCTTGTATAAATGATAATAATAATTCATATATATATTATATATATAGTATTATATTTTGCTGTGACATTCCTTTGATATTATTTTTAAAGTTCAATTTGGCAACCAGGAAGAATCCTTGATCTCCCTAAACCGTAAATAAAAATCTGCGTTTATATGTTTGACTTTACATGAAAAGAAAAACAACATGGTTTGAAACTTTAATTCATTTGTTCCTATACAGCTTATCAAATAAATTTAGGTCAAATGAAATCTTGCTTCAAAATAATCAAAAGCAATGACTTCTTTTTAACCTAAAAATAGGAAAACATCTGTGTCATTTGTTGTAAAATTTTTACAACAAATGATTTCAGAAATTTGTTGAAATGAAATACTCTAAATGCGGAGCCAACAGAATTTTTTTTATAACATGTTCTAATGAACATTTCAGCATGCCAATATATACTGGTAACATTATGTTCACTAGCACTCAAAAACTTGATATAATACAACAAGTACCTGCTGGTGCATGAATATGTCCCCCGCCTCCAATCTGATCAATCAACAACATAAATATAAAGCCGGACACCAGTGTTATCCCTATAAGAGAATGATCATCTATCATACTGTGCTCGTGGTGATGGCTGGCTTCCGTTCCTTCGTGAGCGTGCTCTTTATCTTTTGTCTCCTGTTTCTCATGTTCGTGGTGTTCTTCTGTAATATACATGTATAAAAATATGTGTTTTTAAACTCTTTAAACTTGAGAATTTGTGGGATGGTCCTTTCCACTGCACTTTACCCAAACACTCACTCACTAACTCACTCACTCACTCACTCAATCACTCAGATCCTGTTTCGATTTGCAAACTATGTACATCTACTAATTACCAGATGCAGCATTATGTACATGTACTTATTACCACATGCACTATTATGTACATTTTACGTACTATTTACCAGATGTGACATTATGTACATGTACTAATTACCAGATGCACTATTATTTACAAGGGCTGTCCCAATAAGTCATGGACAACAGAGTTTAAATACAAATTTTTTTATTATAATCTGTGAAACCATTAAAATTCTTACTTAGAATTACAAAATATATTATATTCATACATTTAATTGAAAAATTGAATAAAACATATAGTTTTCAATGATGATGTATATTCACATGTGCATTTAACAGGTCAGGTTGAAAACAGCAAATCATAGACAACAAGAAGTCATTAAAACAAATAAACTTTTTTCTTTACAGGATGAAATATGAATAATTTGCTAGAGAAAACAGTCCATGAAGAGAAATTAATGAGAGTTTTTAGCTATTCCACCGCCATCAATATAGTTTTGTCACGCTGCACGAACATGCAGGTTAGCTGAGCTCATATTGTATTCTCGGGGCACCGGCAAACACATTATCACCACTACCATTCAAAAAGTTTAATGAAACAATTAACACAGCGTAATAATGTGTCAAAATAATGCTAATTTCACACAGGTGTTTTTGTATATACAAGTACATGTATAAATAGGAGTACATGTTTAAATACATGTACTATTTTACAATATCTGAGCATTAAAGTTTATCAGTTACATCAAAAACACATCAATATGTCAAACGTATATAACTCAGTACTAACACCGTAACCGAAGTGTGAAATATTAACAATTAACATCTAGATTGTATCCACACACCTTACAAAGAAGTTGTCTCACAATGAAATAACCTTATTTACTACCTGAAACATGAATGATGACTAGCTTACAAGTCCTGGTTTAATTATTTTTTTAGAACTTGGTATTGTTACATATGAAATTCTTCCATAGATAAGCTGAGGCAATTAAGACTTTAGTCAGACTATGTAAGTATTGTAAACCTGAAAAATCCTCAGGCAATGACTGAGGTTTTAACCCTGGACCTTTTGAAGGTTGATCTTCTTGCAACATTTTAGCTTTTTTTGAGACATGCATGAAGATTTTAAAACTTTTTCATGCTTAAAAATCAAATTGCATTTCATTTAATAACAGTGGTGTTTTTATGAGATAACATCACAGGAAAACTTTCATTACAAAACCAGTGAACTAAAAATATAATTTGTTAACTTAATAGACATGCAACCTGTAATATTTTAAACTTTTAAATACTTAAGCCTTATTTTTAACATAGTTTACATGTACTAAATTTCAAAAATATTTGTCCTTTCACAGCAAAATGATAGTAATCTAGATATTCATAATATTAAAACTACTTTCAATTAAATAATTAATATATGGCATAAATTTAGTTGTTGTTTTATTAACTTACGATTTATTTGAAATATAACTTTGCCTCTAAAACAAGGGACCATAGGTGTGAGCTCTACTTGGGTCATAGGACTCAATACCATGTAAGTTACACCAGTACTGGTTAGTCAAAAAAAACTGACTAAAGAAACTGGTTACTCATGAGTGATTAAATAAGATCATGACTTTAAGCCTAATAAAAAGGAGCAAAAACAATTACAATCATGCAAGATCTAAATCAATTAATTTAAATTAAATGTACAAATACATGTAACCAACTGGTAAACAACTTAATATATTGTCAATTTACCTTAATTGAGCATGAATGCATGCTTGCGATACATATCTTATTCAAAAAAAAAAATTAAAATGAATTCAAATTGCATTAGTTTTGAAGTTGTTCAGCGATGCATCAAAACTAAAAACACCCAAATTTCTAGATTTTAATATGTCGTTGAACCTAGTGAAATTATTTCAAACATACAGTTCAGCATAAAAGTCTATAATTTATAAGTTTCTTCAAAGGTTGCATAATATAATTATATCATTAAAGAAAATATTCACTTTTCCTCCGTTTTTTTATTAAATACATTGTAAGGCTGCCTGTTTAGTTAAAAGGAAACAGCATATTCGGGACATCGTATGATCTTTAAGACGTGCGAGCAATAATTAATTACAAGCTTTAAAGGGTTTCTACTTAAAGGGCGGAAAAACTGTGACACGGTTACACGCTGTTACAATTTTTAATGGTCTTATTAGCCTTATTTTACGCAATGAATATAAGTATCAACATATACAGAGAACCATTCACGGGACATTGAGCCAGCGTAAAAGATTCTTTTCCGCTTTTTGCTCAATCATACTGGCATGAAATTGAATTGATTTATATAAATTTCTGTCGAGTAAATTCATGAATAAATAAACCTTAGAAAATGTCAAATATAAATACAAAATGACAGTCACTGAGTCAAAATAATTTTTTTAAGTTTAAAAGGTGGTCTACATTTTTAAAATGGGTTCAATCTTCCTGATTCTACAAAAACTACATAATAAACCTTACATACATGTTATGTAGGTATAAAATGTTGTGTTAACTTTCTATTTTAATAAAAAAAGTTTATATTTCATGGTTTAATAGTTTTATATATTTCAGAAAGAAATGCACTTAAAATCTATAACTACACTATAGTTTCATTTTTTTGTAAAGAATTTTACATGTATTTTTTTGTCCATTGAGTTAAATAGAAAGATATATTATGATTTTATTGGTTTTAAATTGTATAGTTATGATGTTTGTTCGTTTGATTTAGAAATTTTTTGGTTCTCATTTTGCTCATTAATAACAGAGGGTTTTGCCTGGAATTCTTGATAACAATTTTTCCATTGCTGTATTAGAAATAAAACAAAAAAAGAGTATGGCAGCAGATGCACTCGGCAAATTTCATACTGGATTTTAAACTTAAAATTTATTTATTTTTTGGCCATTTAGACAAAATTTCTAAGTTAAAACGGGGCATAACCTAAAATACAGCTTTCAAAATGATGCCCTTTGTCTTAGATCTGCACCTTGTCATGATAAACAAGTATTCAAAGTGTCATGTTGATCCTATTGAAAATGTTTGAATAATGGGCTTCATTAATGTTTTTGCAACACAACAACAAAGACACTGCAGAGATCACAATAGCCCAACTTTTTCTTCCAAAAAAAAAAGACCAGCTAAAAGTAACAAAAACACCATTACATACGTTCAGTTGCTATTGACATAGCATGGATTCCCTCGGGGATGATCACTGCCAGAGCTGTTCCAACAAGAAGACCTGCTCCTAGAACTGTGACAAGCTTTAGTTTGTCCTGAAAAAACCCCAAAAAAACAGTAATTTCTAATGCAAAAGATTTCAATAAATTTACATGGTGCTTGAGTTTGTCACTTGCATTTCGTCATTCCGTCATTTTTTTAGTAAAACTAGAACAAGCAATATACATGTATTCAAATGAATACATAGTCTCGGTGGTGACCTTGACCTTTGACCCTTATCCTGTAAGTGGGTCTCATTCTGGTAAGTACAGAGAAGGTGCTCTGCTCATGAAGGTGCATGCACCTGTGTAGTTTGAAGACTTAAATTTTATGGTCAAGATGAAAGTTTTGTGACAAACAGACAGACAGGCAGGCAAACAAACAGACCAAAAACAAAGCCCGAATGGCTATGACCATAAAGTTTTTCGTGCATACTGAAGTATGCATGTTCTGATTTTGGCATCTCTATAATCTATACTGGTTGGAGACCACCAAAACCGGACAACCATCAAACCCGGACAGCCCCGAAAATGCTTAATTTAGATTTTTTTCTTTGTTCAGTGGTTTTTCATCTATCAAAAACTTTATTATCAACATGAATATTTCTTCTATGATTAATAGAATTAATTTCAACTTCTGTAAACCGTAATATTTTATTGTCTCTTTCAAGAAAGTTGACGCTGAAAATTGGGGCATCAAGAGTGCAATACCTGACATCATACACCACTTGTAATCATTTGCAGAATAAACAATAGAATATCCAAAACATCAGCATTTGCTGCTGATATATTGTATATAAAGTTAAAAATAAAAAATTAAAACACCCAAGCTTTTATTTGAATTAAATCACTTCATGTACATATCCGTCCGGACACATGGTACTGTAGTGTGGACAATTTAGGTAATTTTGACACCCTTGACGACAGGCCTCAGATACAAGTATCAATATAATCAGAAATAAACAAACTAGTTTGTTAGTTAGGAGAAGTACCTAGCTGTACTGTGTCAAATTTTCAGGTCTCTACGTTTGAAATTATGAAATCTGTATTGATAAATGTTTTAAAAGTGTCCGGTTGATGGTCCCCGACCAGTATGACTTGGAATATGTTCAGGATTTATAATTGAATTTAAATCAAGCAAACTGTAGGAAATATGTACAATGCTGTTTACATATTTTTACATGTATATTGATAGTTTTTAAGAGTTAAAATTATGCATTTCATACACATTTTAACACAACAAATGTATACTTTTGAATGTTTTAATATAATAACAATAGTGACAACAATAGTCACAAATATATTCTTGGCACAAAGGTTTGATATATGTTCAAAAGTCAATTAAATTCATTTCTGTTTTGCATCCAGTAAAACCCTGACAATTCATAATTAAGTTGAAATTGAAAATACCTCTGCAGTCTATTACTTTTTAATTTAATTTAGCTATCAAACCACTCACCACATACAGAAAACACTTGCATGCTCAACTTCAGTTTGGCTTATGAGTAAATGACCAGAGCAGCCCTACAATCACTGTATTTAGGCATTGTTAGCAAGTTATGCTTTAACACCCTATGCCAAAAGTCTTTTAAGCTAGATTTTGGATACATTTTGAATTGATTGCCAAAAGTTCTAGCTGTATGTGAGTCACGTACATCTAGCCTATATCCACTGTTGAGGCTATCCGTATGGCATTTGGAAAAAGACATTGCCCGTCCAAAATTATCTCGATGTCTCTTTGACAAGTCTAATTAGTTGGACTTCATGCACCCATAGTCCAACTAATTGTACTAAACCATGAGATATTGTGCTATTTTGTGTATGGGCAATGATCTGCAATATCTCCCTTCTATGAAAAAGCAAGATTCTGATCCAGAACAAAAACATATCAGAATCCAGCTTTGGCATATCAATGTATTTTGACTACATACACCCAGTGCATAGAAAAGCCAACTGGTGCATAGAAATGCCAAAAAACCCCAAAAAAACAAGAAAGCGTTTGTTAAACACAAATGCCCCCCGGCTCAGATTCTTGTCAGTAACAATATTTAAAATAAAGGCTGTATGGGCAAAAGTGTAAAAAATCTATTTTTAGCACTGGTGACCTTGACCCAACTGACCCCTAACTCCATCCAAAGGAAAAATATCATGCAACTTATTTTCCTACCAAATATGAAATAAATCTGTCAATATATAAAGGCTGTATGGGCAAAAGTGTAAAAATCTATTTTTAGCACTGTTGACCTTGACCCAACTGACCCTAACTCCATCCAAAGGAAGAATACCATGTAAGTTATCTTCCGACCAGTTATAATACAAATCTGTCAATAAATAAAGGCTGTATGAGCAAAAGTGTAAAAATCTATTTTTAGCACTGGTGACCTTGACCCAACTGACCCCTACCTCCATCCAAATGAGAATACCTCAATTTTATGTTTCTACAAAATATACAAGACATCTGTCGATAGAATAAGGTTAATACACCTGTAAAAGTGTAAAAAATCTATTTTGACATTGGTGACCTTGACCCAAATGACTCCTTACTAAAGGAAAAGGAAGAGGACCCCCCCTTGGTATGACTATTATAAACATGAAAGACATTAACTTAAAAATAAAGGCTGTACGAGCAGAAATGTTTTGATTTATTTTTTTACACAAGTGACCTTGACTTTGACCTAGAGATGCCTAACGCCACAAAAAATTAGAGGACCGTTAAAGGTATCCACCTACCAAATATGAAAGATATCATTAAATAAATTAAGTAATTAGGTGAACTTGGCGGAATAGGTTAACCATACAAGGCCCTATTTTCAAAGTGATAAAAAGGGAAATTACTGGGAAAATGGATGGCACATTTATATAACTTGGCAATATTCTGTACATTGTATTGATAAGTAAGTGTGAAAATTATTAAGCCATTATTCATTTTCTAATTTGCTGAAAAGGGCCATAACTTGGTGCAAATGGAAGCCATAGTTATGTAACTTCCCCAGATCATATACTTTGTATCGATTAGTAAGTGTGTAAATTATGAAGCCATTGGTACAGGTAGAACTTAAGAATAATCCAACTTGCCATTCTAGGTTAACCTCGTACGGGCAGACGGACGGTTCAATTACTATATGCCCGGGGGCATAAAAAAAGAGTAAAATTTGTAATTGTTAAACATTTTGCTCCTTTTTTTACTCTGAACTTTCATTCTTATAACTGTATGTCACGGTTCAGAACTGTTCACTATTTAGGGGAGATGATGTGTAAGCAGCCGGATATGGCGGATAGCTCACGGAACGGTATTCTGAGGGTCCCGGGTTCGAGTCCCAGTCAGACTGCACATTTCTCTCACCCTGTGACATGTTAATTTAAAAATGTAACAACTAAAATATTTGCAGTAATTTAAATGACTGATATGAAGTTCATCAACAGTTAAAAGTGTGCATGTGGAAAAAAAAGTGTTAAACAAGGTCATGGGAGCAGCACAGTATACAACCAATCCATACTAGATGCAAATAATGAGGGAATAAAAGAAGACGTTTGTGACGTCTTGCGGCTCTGAAGGGTCACAGAGTGTTGTGACTGTGATAGTGTGAGGTGTCAAGTTTTACAGATTATTTCAACAAAACAAATTAACTTAGTCGGGAATGACAATGAAAAAATGTACTGACCTCTGAAAAGTTTATGGCTAGCGGTATTATTCCGGCTAAGTAACAGCCTACCAGCATAGCCGTAGACAGTAAAATAAGTGTCCAAATATCATCCATTTTTGTATGTTTTTCTCTGCCATGTAGACGGGTCTCTCTTATGGCGATCAATCGCTACAGTGATTGTGGGCAATCAACCGCTGGGCACTAGAACACTAAATCTGTGTATTTTCTTCCTCGGTCCGCCTATCATACAGCTTATTACGGTACGTTTAAAAAGTATTGTAGAACTCTATCAAATGGAAAAAATCTTTAAAACATTACATATAAAGAACAGTGGTGATCGTAGCGAATGGTTGTCCAGTCAGACTTATTATGATAATTCGTATATAATTGCTTCTTATAGCCCTATGAAAATAAAATTGGCTAACGTCTCGGACTATATTAATTAATATTATCATATCAATATATACTTTTATTTTTTATGGCTTCAAAACGAGCTGTACATTGCCTCTTGACAATAACCACGAATCATATTATGGTTCCATGTAAAAACTGAGATGACTATATATTGTCTCTTGCAGGTAGCCACGTACACACAATGGCCTCATGAAAATACATTGATGGTTAAAGGCCGAGCTTGTTTATATATCCCGCACAGGATTACATATGCTCTCTTGGAAAAATACCACATATTTACCCGCTAAGCAAGAGTATTACGTCTCCTATGTAGCCACGTATGACCCCATGAAAAATTCTAAACGGTTGCATTTGTTTCTATTACTTAGCCACGTATGGCCCCGTGTAAAAAAATCTTAAATGCTGGCAGTTATAGACTGTCTATTTGCTTGTGAACAACAACATATGGCCCCGTGTTAAAACTGAAACAACCGTAGTAATAGACTATATATTTCTCTTGCAGGTTGCCACGCATGGCCTCGTGAAAATACTTCAACGGTTAAACGCTGAACTTGTTTATTTCTCCTGTACAGGGGTAAATATGACCACTTTGGTAAATGAAAGATATTTACCCCCCCCCCCCCTAGCAAGAGTATAGCGTTTCTTATGTAGCCTCGTGAAAAAACTTAAAGGTCGGCAGTAATAGACTGTCAATTCGCTATTATGTAGCCACGTATGGCCCCATGAAAAGTTCTAAACGGCTGCATCAAAGGACTGTGTGACTGTTTCTATTACTTAGCCACGTATGGCCCTGTGTAAAAAACTTAAATCTCGGCAGTAATAGACTGCCTATTCGCTTGTGGACAGGCAAATATGGCCCTATGTAAAAACTGAAATGACTTTAGATATAGGCTGTATATTGTCTCTTGCAGGCAGCCACGTATGACCACATGAAAACACTTTATTGGTTAAAGGCCGAGCTCGTTTATTTGTCCCGTGCAAGAGTACACACCCCCTTTTGAAAATACCAGAAGATTACTACGTAGCCGCTTTTTGGTACCGTGAAAAAATATAAAAAGGTTGCAGCAATGAACTGTGCATTATTTCTTGTACTAAACCACGTATGGCCCCGTGTAAAAAACGTGAATGGCAGCAGTACTGGTCTGTCTATTCGCCTGTGGACAGCCACGTATAGCGCCGTGTAAAAACTGAAATGACTTCAGTAATAGGCTGAATATTGTCTCTTGCAGGTATCCACATATGACCTCATGAAAATACAATAATGGTTAAACGCCGAACTTGTTTATTTGTCCCGTGCAGGGGTACATGTGACCCCTTTGGAAAATGACAGATATTTAACCCACTAGCAAAAGTATTGCGTCTCCTATATAGCCTTATATGGCCCCATGACAATTCTAAACGGTCGCAGCAATGGACTGTGCATTGTTTCTATTACTTAGCCACGCATGGCCCCGTGTAAGACACTTTAATGTCAGCCGTACTGGACTGTCTATTCGCCCGTGGACAGCCACATATGGCCCCGTGTAAAAACTAAAACGACTTTAGTAATAGGCTATATATTTCACTTGCAGGTAGCCACGTATGGCCCCGTGTAAAAAACCTAAATCTCGGTAGTACTGGACTGTCTATTCGCCTGTGGACAGCCACATATGGCCCCGTGTAAAAACTGAAACGACTTTAGTAATAGGCTGTATATTTATCTTGCAGGTAGCCACTTATGGCCCCGTGTGAAAAACTTAAATCTCTGCAGTAATTGCCTGTCTATTCGCCCGTGGACAGCCACATATGGCCCCGTGTAAAAACTAAAACGACTTTAGTAATAGGCTATATATTTCTCTTGCAGGTAGCCACGTATGGCCCCGTGTAAAAAACCTAAATCTCGGTAGTACTGGACTGTCTATTCGCCTGTGGACAGCCACATATGGCCCCGTGTAAAAACTGAAACGACTTTAGTAATAGGCTATATATTTCTCTTGCAGGTAGCCACGTATGGCCCCGTGTAAAAAACCTAAATCTCGGTAGTACTGGACTGTCTATTCGCCTGTGGACAGCCACATATGGCCCCGTGTAAAAACTGAAACGACTTTAGTAATAGGCTATATATTTATCTTGCAGGTAGCCACGTATGGCCCCGTGTAAAAAACTTAAATCTCGGAAGTAATAGACTGCCTATTCGCCCGTGGTTAGCCACATATGGCCCCGTGTAAAAACTGAAACGACTTTAGTAATAGGCTATATATTTCTCTTGCAGGTAGCCACGTATGGCCCCGTGTAAAAAACTTAAATCTCGGAAGTAATAGACTGCCTATTCGCCCGTGGTCAGCCACATATGGCCCCGTGTAAAAACTGAAACGACTTTAGTAATAGGCTATATATTTCTCTTGCAGGTAGCCACGTATGGCCCCGTGTAAAAAACTTAAATCTCGGCAGTACTGGACTGTCTATTCGCCTGTGGACAGCCACATATGGCCCCGTGTAAAAACTGAAACGACTTTAGTAATAGGCTATATATTTCTCTTGCAGGTAGCCACGTATGGCCCCGTGTAAAAAACTTAAATCTCGGCAGTACTGAACTGTCTATTTGCTTGTCGACAGCCACATATGGCCCCGTGTAAAAACTGAAACGACTTTAGTAATAGGCTATATATTTCTCTTGCAGGTAGCCACGTATGGCCCCGTGTAAAAAACTTAAATATCGGCATTACTGGATTGTCTATTCGCCTGTGGACAGCCACATATGGCCCCTTGTAAAAACTGAAACGAGTTTTGTAATAGGCTATATATTTCTCTTGCAGGTAGCCACGTATGGCCCCGTGTAAAAAAACTTAAATCTCGGCAGTACTGGTCAGTCTATTCGCCTGTGGACAGCCACATATGGCCCCGTGTAAAAACTGAAACGACTTTAGTAATAGGCTATATATTTCTCTTGCAGGTAGCCACGTATGGCCCCGTGTAAAAAACTTAAATCTCGGAAGTAATAGACTGCCTATTCGCCCGTGGACAGCCACATATGGCCCCGTGTAAAAACTGAAACGACTTTAGTAATAGGCTATATATTTCTCTTGCAGGTAGCCACTTATGGCCCCGTGTGAAAAACTTAAATCTCTGCAGTAATTGCCTGTCTATTCGCCCGTGGACAGCCACATATGACCCCGTGTAAAAACTAAATCGACTTTAGTAATAGGCTGTATATTTATCTTGCAGGTAGCCACGTATGGCCCCGTGTAAAAAACTTAAATCTCGGAAGTAATAGACTGCCTATTCGCCCGTGGTCAGCCACATATGGCCCCGTGTAAAAACTGAAACGACTTTAGTAATAGGCTATATATTTCTCTTGCAGGTAGCCACTGATGGCCCCGTGTGAAAAACTTAAATCTCTGCAGTAATTGCCTGTCTATTCGCCCGTGGACAGCCACATATGGCCCCGTGTAAAAACTAAAACGACTTTAGTAATAGGCTATATATTTCTCTTGCAGGTAGCCACGTATGGCCCCGTGTAAAAAACCTAAATCTCGGTAGTACTGGACTGTCTATTCGCCTGTGGACAGCCACATATGGCCCCGTGTAAAAACTGAAACGACTTTAGTAATAGGCTATATATTTATCTTGCAGGTAGCCACGTATGGCCCCGTGTAAAAAACCTAAATCTCGGTAGTACTGGACTGTCTATTCGCCTGTGGACAGCCACATATGGCCCCGTGTAAAAACTGAAACGACTTTAGTAATAGGCTATATATTTATCTTGCAGGTAGCCACGTATGGCCCCGTGTAAAAAACTCAAATCTCGGAAGTAATAGACTGCCTATTCGCCCGTGGTTAGCCACATATGGCCCCGTGTAAAAACTGAAACGACTTTAGTAATAGGCTATATATTTCTCTTGCAGGTAGCCACGTATGGCCCCGTGTAAAAAACCTAAATCTCGGTAGTACTGGACTGTCTATTCGCCTGTGGACAGCCACATATGGCCCCGTGTAAAAACTGAAACGACTTTAGTAATAGGCTGTATATTTATCTTGCAGGTAGCCACGTATGGCCCCGTGTAAAAAACTTAAATCTCGGCAGTACTGGACTGCCTATTCGCCTGTGGACAGCCACATATGGCCTCATGTAAAAACTGAAACGACTTTAGTAATAGGCTATATATTTATCTTGCAGGTAGCCACGTATGGCCCCGTGTAAAAAAATCTCAAATCTCGGAAGTAATAGACTGCCTATTCGCCCGTGGTCAGCCACATATGGCCCCGTGTAAAAACTGCAGTATCATACTTTTTATTGTCTCTTATAGATAGTGATGTATATACACATATGTAAGTTCTTTACTGGCTACAGAAATTGCCATTTGCTGTCAGTGACTGTATAATGTCATTTGTAAAATAAGTGGCTATTAATAATAGCAGCTTGTAAAACTTGAATGATTGATGAAATAGTCTCTATATTGGTTCTTGTAGAAAGTCACGTATTGACCCACGTAAATAAAATTTCTAACAAGAGTCAACGTTGGGCGGGGGCAACGTTCTAATTTTTTACTTTTTCTAAAAGCAAGCCAAACAGCTGTTTTAACAAACCTTTAAAAAGAAAATGAAAGAAACAAATAAGTTTTTCATATTTTTTAATTTTGTCTATTTTGTCACACTTGTTGGTTTGTCCAAGTATGAATCCTTTCCATACATAAATGACAAAGTTCTGTTTGGTTGTTTTCTTATGTTGTTTTTCCACATATTATTTAAA